TCTCTCTCTCTCTCTCTCTCTCTATCTATCTATCTCTCTCTCTCTCTCTCTCTCTCTCTCTCTCTCTCTCTCTCTCAAAATTGTATCGATGGTGCTGTGAAACAAATACCCAAACTCAAAACTCAAAACTCCTAAACTCAAAATCAAATTCTTGCTAAAGCTCACTGTCATTAAAGTTCAAACTTTCACTAAACCTCAAACTTTCACTAAAGCTCAAACTCTCACTCAAGCTCAAACTCTTACTTAAGGCAAAACTCTTACAAAAACTAACTCAGCCCACGGTCTCGTCTCTCTCCTGACATCAGATGTTCCCTGACGTGGCCATCCAGCGAGAAATCCTGTCCCTCTCCGTACAGTGCCCGAACACTGATGACGGATGTGCCTGGAGGGGAGAGCTCAGGGAACTGGAGGTGGGTGCCAACATGTCAGGAGGAATTCCTCAACGAGCGACCACTATGAAATAGATAGATACAGGGTTATGTTTAGGGTTAAGGCTAGAGATAGGTTGAGGGATGGAGTTTGGGTTAGGGTTAGGATTGGAGTTGGGACTCCGGTTGGGGTTAGGGTTGGGGTTGGGGTTAGGTTTAGGGTGAGGGATAGGGTTAGGGATAGATTTGGGGTTAGGGTTAGGGTAAGGGGATATTATCCGAGAGTCCTATGTTTACACTTTCCTTCTGTTATTTCTTGTTTGTTTTTTCGTAACCTTTGAGATTAAAAGCACTCGCGGATCATTACTCGGCAAACAACCCAACTTTTCAGAAACATCGAGAAGTGTGCCGCATGGAAGAGGTTCACTGCCCACACGGCTGTGAACTGACCACCAAACGATGTCAGCTGGACGACCACGTGACTGTGTGTCCTTCCAGACAGGTCCAGTGCAAACATTGCCAGGAACACGTCATCTATCAGAACCTGGAAGTGAGTAACTGCATTTTATGATAAGTTTGAGCCCACGCCTTCCCAACTCTTCCCTGTCTGCTTTCAATAATCCGGGGTTAGGTTATGTTTCAAATGAATACAAGAGTCTTACTGATTAATGTATTGTTGTAAGTCAATGTTTTATTACTTAAAGGACAATTGCAAACGTGTGCATACTGTTAACGTATTCACCCTTACAAACGTACCTGTACTCTCTCTCTCTCTCTCTGTCTGTCTGTCTATCTCTCTCTCTCTCTCTCTCTCTCTCTC